GGCGGGGGAGGCATCAGAGCCTGGAGAGCGCAGCGCGGAGATCGCGACCGCACGTGGAGTGCTTGCCGGCCCCGCCCCGGACCCAACCAAGCGTCTCGCGGAGGGGTGTCTCGAGTCCGGGTCAGGTGAAAGCAAAGGAAGCCACCCCTCCGGGGTCCAGGGGAAGGACGTGAGCCTCAGGACACTGTGTGTGGACCATAGCGATCTAAGCCTTTCCCTGCGCGAAGGAGACGGAGACGCGAGGCGACACTGTCAGCTCCCCATCTCTGGCCCAATGGCCCTCTTGGACTCCCGGCCCCTGCTCCCCGGGAACGTTCCCTTCCGAGCCCAGTCCGTCAAGGGGGGAGGCTGTTTGGCTTTAGCATCATCTTACTAATTGGAAACGACGGAGCGGAGGCCACTCAGAGACGAGGCGGTCCCAGTGGAGGAGGCTTCGTGACTCCTAGCTTCCCGCCTATCCTTCTGTCCCGCACCCACCTGTCCACCTACCACTCGGGTCGCCGCGCCCTGGAGGGTTTTATACTGGATGGAGGGGGCGCCGCCGAGGAAGCCAAGCCTCCCCCCACCCCCTTGCTCTGCCTCTCCAGTTCTTCAGGTAGACACAGCCTCCATCTGCGGTAGTTTTAGTGTCTGTGACTCCTCAGAAATTATATTTACTCGCACCACATGGTGTCCGGACAGGGTGGCGGGTGATGCAAAGGGCCAGTGGAACATGTTTTTATGACACTGAGAATCGAGTAAGGAGATGGAGGATTCTTTGCCACCTTTGGTTGTTGAGTCTGGGGAAGGGGAGAGCTACGCCCTCTCCCGCCAACCTGCGCCCATTGGGACCTGCTGCTGGGAACTGGGGAGGAAGGGAGAGAAAACCAGCCTCTACCTGGTCCCCAGACCCGCGCGACCCACAGAGTTCTAACCTCCTAGGCTTCTGCCCTCCTAGTCACTGCTGACCCAGTGACCCCTGGCGGGGTTGGGGGGTGGGCAGCAATGCCCACAGGGCCCCTCACTAAAGGCGTGATGGGATGTGCATCCTGGGTATGACAATTGGGTGAGGAGGCAAGGAGGTAGAGAAGGACCTAGACATGACACCACCAAAATCAAATTTATGTTGATAGCAGCCAACTTAAAATTGCCCTGCTCCTTTGATCCAAACATAAGTCATGTAAAGCTAATCATTATTGTTTTAAAGTATGCCAGTCTGTTTGCCTTGTTTGCTTGATAAAAGAGATTCAGTTTTGTGTTCATTAGAGCTGAAGCTCATTTAGAATAGTTGTCTCATTTACAGCTTTTACATTTTACATCAGAACTGAGTATTATGAACGGCGATCTTTTATCTTTTCACAATTGACAATACATTCAGAGCTTATTTCCGATAAAGTGGGGCAGTTTCTAAGGATACCACACTTATGATTTAGAGTCATGACTCCATTATGGAAAGGAGAACAAGAGCTATGTTTCAATGACTACCTTTTAAATTAGCTGCATTTAATTAATAGATTAAATTTGAAATTGGTTAACAATATAGGCATTTAAAAGTGGAAGATTGCAATTTTTCTCTCATTTTTATCTTTTATATGCATTCAAAATGAGTACATTTTGAACACTAGCTGGTAAGGTCTTAAATTAACTTGATGCCTAATGAGGTAATCCAGCATTTCATATGTAAAGATGAATGAGAAAAATGAGTAATATGTTGCTATTTGGAAAACAGTTCCTAAATCGCATTTCTTTTCAGGCTTTGTGCATAAAAATCTAGCAGATAAAGAAAAACATATTGTTGGATTATGAAACATTGCTGCAATATAAAATAATTAAGTAACCCAAGGAGCAAAATATTTTAAACAGTTTTTTAAGAATGTGTTTAAGATTGGGTTTATTGTCTATAATTAGATTGTAGCAAAATTTACTATGAATATTTTTTTGAATCGTAATAATCACATTATAGAGATAAGGAAGCAGAGGAGAACCTGAGAAAGGACACTACCCAGTTATAGTGTTTTGTGAATACTACACTAAACATAGATTCTTATGTAATACTTAGTAAACTAAATACTTTAAAACTCTTAAAATCAGTTATATAAACACCTGAAACATCATAAAATTCAGAAAGGATTGCTTTGGAAAAGAACACATAATCCACTTAAGATGGAAGTGGAGCTGAGAAAGGAGGGATTATTTTAGATATTTATCACAGGAAATGTTTTTCTGTGCTTATGACAGTGAGGAATGTAATTTTGTAGGTAATCAAAGTCATATTTTGTGATTCTTTTTGATGTTCAGATACAGTTTTATTTTCATTGGTATGAGATATTTTCCTAAATATGAGACAATGCCCATCAGTGAAACATCATCCTAAACACATCTTAAACTATTACTTTTTCCATGGCATATAAATATTATCATAACTATATAGTTTTGCTTTTGGTTTTCTTAGGAATAAGGTATTCATTCCATGAATTCGTTGAGTACTCCCATATACCAGGTGCTCCGTTGGACTCTGGGAGTCAATAGTAAAAGTATTCTTGAATCTTACAGTCGTGTGAGGGACCAAGAGTAGGAGCAAACAGTTACAATATACTTTTTATGCTTTGTATAGTAGAGATATGCAGGAGGAATAGTGGGAAGGCTTAGGACCTTCAGGAAGGGCATCCGACATTCCCTGTCAACAGAGATGAGAAAGGCGAACAAAAGTTTGCCTGGAAACAAGTTGGTTGAGCTGGTGGTTCTCGAACATGTCAGTGCATTGGAATCACCTGGGGACTTTCACAAACTTTTGATGCCTGTGTTTCAGGCATGTGGTTTAATTGATCTGGAATGTGGCCTGGGCTTGGGAATGTTTTCAAGACCCTCAGATTATTCTAAGAGGAGAAACATGTGGGAGGGAACCATGGGTTACAAATATCCCAGGTAAAGGGCACAGAATGAGCAAGTGCAGGGAGGCTCTTTTAAAGTACAATGGCCAGGCCAGCTGAGTGGCTCATTGGTTAAGAGTTGGCTTGGGAGCATGAGCTCTGAGCAGCAGGGCCACCAGTTTAGATCCCACATGGGCCAGTGACGCTGCGCCCTCTACAGCTAAGATGGTGAACAACAGCTCAACCTGGAGCTGGGCTGCTGTAGTGCCCGGCGGCCGGCGTGAGCTGCCATGAGCCGCTGTGAGTGGCCATCCAATGGTCGGTGACCGATTTGCCTCAGCCAGGAAGAATGCAATGANTGAGTGGCTCATTGGTTAAGAGTTGGCTTGGGAGCATGAGCTCTGAGCAGCAGGGCCACCAGTTTAGATCCCACATGGGCCAGTGACGCTGCACCCTCTACAGCTAAGATGGTGAACAACAGCTCAACCTGGAGCTGGGCTGCTGTAGTCGCCGGCGACAGCGTAGGCTGCAATGAGGCTGCAGTGGGCTGCTGTGAGCTACCATGAGTGCCCGGCGGCCGGCGTGAGCTGCCATGAGCCGCTGTGAGTGGCCATCCAATGGTCGGTGACCGATTTGCCTCAGCCAGGAAGAATGCAATGATCAGAATACCAACATGGTCCAGTGAAGCGACGTCCTCCACAACTAGACTGAAGAACAAAAGGACAACAACTAGCCTGTTCCTCTTTCCCCATTCCCCAACGGTGTTCCCTCCCAATTCCCCAATAAAATCTTTAAAGAAAATAAATATATAAATAGATAAATAAATGTACAATGGCCATCGCCTCATTATGTAATTCAAGAGGCTTATGCTTTGGTGGCTGATATTTACACATTTAATGCAAGGAACACAATTATATAGAAAATGAAGAGATGTGAACTGCTGTAATTCACAGTCCTTTACAAGTACTTTCTAAACACTGGAATAGAATGCTGCAAATTAAGATTACTTCAATATATTAGAAGGAAAAAAATTAGTTTTTTTTATCTTTTATATGTAATTCAAGGTTGTTTGAAACTCAGAGTATGTTTTAATTGCTGAAATATAAGTTTTAGTCATAGAGAGAAGTCAGTAACTGACATATTGGCTTTTAAAGAAAGCTTTCCCCAAATTAAATACTGTTCATCATCCTGGCTGAAGATCATAATAAAGAAATTAGGTTCATTTTTCTTTTTGGTAATTACTGAAGTTCATTTAAAAGGCAAAACAAAATGCATTTTAAAGCAATCAAAATACATAAGGCCTACTCTTTTAAGGTCTTAAATGTAAGTTTAGCTAACGTATAGGATTTTGAAAGACAAATTAATTGCATGTAGACACTTAATAGTGCGGTGATGTAGTCCAGGTTTTCACTGCCTAACACCTAAAATGCACTTTTTATTATTCTCAGTTGGTATATTACTGTGTTCTGTAAAATAAAAACACCAAAAGAGATTTTAATGCTCAAATAAAATCAGGAGAATTGATTATCAGCCATTTAATCCAGCTGTCTCATTGTGCACCCCAAACCCCTTCCCAGGAATGAAAATAATTATTTTGCAGAGCCAACACAGCACAGGGGTTAATATTATGTATCGATCCAACTCAGGAAGATCTGCCTTTACCCAGATTAGAGACACAAAGTTGAAAAAATTAAACTCATTAAACGCTGCTCTCTTGGTCATCACATTTTGAGAAAATGTTTAAAAATAGGACAACTTGATTATCCTGGGACAAAGTTAGGTTTTAAAACAGCATGTAAAAGTTCACAGGAGACATATTTGAGGAGCTACTTTCTGTTCTACAATGGTTTTAGTGTTACCACAAACATCACTTTCTAGTTGCTTGAGGGTTTGAATACTTGAATACTCCAGACACAAAGTTTGATAAGACTGGGAGGGTCTGGCCAGCCCCTTCACTCTTGGTAAGGAAAGACAATTTTAAATGGTGCTGCTAAGGTGTAGGTGAACAAGGTGGGGTAACCCAACACACAGAATCGCGCTGACTTGGCGTTGAAATGCCAAGTGTCAGAGGCAGTGCTAGGCTGAAGGCTGCTGCTGCTGACTAAAACGCAGTGAAGAATTCAGTGTGAAAAGAGCACAGGGAGGAAGACTGAGAACAGGTAGAAGGGACCTCGTGCAGGAATATGTCTCATAGAAGGGAAGAGACAAGGGGTGGTAGAACACCCTACAGTTTAAAACTTCCTGATGTACGCCCTTTGTGTGTTTATACAGTGGGCTGCAAAGGTCCCAGAGCAGTTTTCCAGCTCAGATTCCTTGATTACTCTCTGAAAAGCTGAAAGAAAACATTCCTACCCTCCAGAGATGGGAGGCAACTCCCTCCACTCTCAACTGGGGGAGACAGATGGAAAAAGGAAAGGAAGTTGCAATCTGGTGATAGCCTGGTGGGTCTGAGTTCTGCCTCAGGCACGCTCTGATTATCTTTATCTGAGATAATGTTCTAGGAGGAGTCACTTTCAAACACAAGTGATAACATGGATGTCACTAAAATTCTCTCCACTATTTTGACACCTTATCAATTTTTACGTGAAACATAACTGAACTGGAGCAGGGGAAGATGTGAATATCCATCCTCTAGCTAGAACACAGGCTTACAGCTTGGCCAATACTGGCTTATCTTGAGAACACCAACAAAAATTCCATGTATAAAGAGGGTTTATGAAATCTGCCCATTCTGTGTTAATCTGGTTACCTTTAGTAGATTGTAACCCTAACAAACATGCCCTTAAGCTTGTTTTCAGTTGCTTAAAAAAGAAGGATGA